AGATGTGAATGCTGTCTAGGAAAACAAATTATGGAGCTTTTCTCGTTCTCAATTTTGAGGGAGCACGTGACTTGACACCCACCTGGCAGAGGTGTCCGAGGTTTGTTGGTGGTGGACAACATAATTTGTATCTAAACCCTGGCAAAACAATTGACTAGTAGGGTCATGAGAAACATCTCCTTGACATGGTCCACAGAGTGGCAGCTGTGAAATTATCCCAGTTATTGTGACAAGAAGAGGAACGGTTCCCTTGCAACCAGGAGATGGGTGGGTGGAAGTTGAGCTGGACGAGTTCTTTAATGACCAGGGAGTAGATGGGAAGGTGGAGATGAGCCTCATGGAGGTGAGAGGTGGTCAGTGGAAAGTCTGGCCTCATCATCCAAGGAATTGAACTCAGGCCACAACAAAATAAAGCCCTTTGCTCTTATTATTTACGAGGACATCTTAGTTATGGACCTCTTCACTTCAACGATGATTCTGTAATTTAGTAGATTGAAATAAAGGTAAAAGAAGGCAGTCCAGACATGGATCGATCATGCAAGGTAAGTACTTAACTGCTTTTGAAATCTTGGCCCATTCTAGTTTCTACTTAAAAGTCTGAAGGTGGGTTTTGTGTTCCCATTTTCTTCCTGTGTCTTGTAATGACAGCTTACCAAATTAATGGTTGTGACCTGGGAGTTGCAGAAGATTGAAGGAGCCACCAGAAGCAATACAATTCTCTTCTTCGCACATCTTCCCAGCACCTGGATGTTGATCAATAATTGATTTTGTTTTTCTTTTGACAACTGATATGGATGTTGATCAATATGGTATCTGGAATGGACCAAGAATTTTTAATGCTAAAATATTCGAGTTAAATTTTCCATTAGGATAAGATTTGTATGATGTAAGAAACCCAAATTTCAGAAGTGTCAATTTTCTCATTGGAGTATAGACCTGGGAATTTAGGGGTGTCAATTGGGCTGGATTTGGTCCAATCCGATCCAGTCCAATGTGAGTCCATTATAAATGGACCAGGTCCAATCCAATCCAATGAATGTTATGGACCAATTTGGACCGGTCCATTTCAATGTCTGGACTGTCCAATCTGTTCAAATTCATTTTGATTTGGATTGGTTTTAACCCAAACCTAGTCCATTGACACATATTTTCCTCTTATATCAAAGGACTGGCTTAATCCAACCCAATCCAATATAAATTTGTTATGGACGGAACAGGTCCAATCCAATCTAATAAATATTTTGGACTGGATTGGTCCAATCCAATGTCTTGTTGGTCTGTCCAATCCGTCCAATTTGATTTTGGATTGAACGGGGTCTAATTTAAAACTGGTCCATTGATACCCTTACTTGGGATCAAATCCCGCTGCCACCAGGGTTGGGGAGGGGTTCATTGGTTGTCCGAGAGAGAGAGAGAAGCGGAAGTCTGGCCTCATCATCCAAGCAATTGGACCATACATAATGAAATAATAATGAGCCTTGATAAATATTATTTTTTTAATTTACTTTCACGTTTAAGTGTCAATTGAGAACCTATAGGTCAAGGAGTCGATGCTAAAACTAAGGCCCTGCTTGTTTTTCGGCAAGTTACTTATCTAGGTAAGTGTTCCAAGAAATATTTGGGTAAGTGTATTTATTCATGTTTTTTTATTTCTCATGTAAATAAAGGCAATGACTATTTTAGTCATAAAAATCTATTATTAAAAGGGGTATTTTTGTCTCATTCAAGTATTGGTAACTTTCCTTCAGGTGGAAAAGTTATTTACTTACTTAGGAGAGAGGTATCCAGGAAAATTAATTTTTCTTGATTCCCACATAAATCTGAAAAAAAAATACGGGTTTCTTAGTCAGTGGGAATCAATTTCTCTCTTTCAAAATCAAAAAAAAAAAAAGAAGAAGAAGAATGCCCCCTGAGAAAAATGTTTATTTTGTATATTTAATATTATTTTAATTCAACTATTTTGTCTTTGGATTATCAGGAAACAATTTTGTAATTGGAATGGCTAAAACCCATCAAGCAACTATTTTGTCTTTGAACAAATAGATTTACTGTAGAGAAATTTCTTTCTAACAAGACATACAAGTAACAGAAAGTAAGTAATAGGTAAAAGAAAAAAAAAGAAAATGAAAGGAAAGAAAAGAAAGGCAGGAATAAAGGGTACGAGGCAAATTATTGTTAAGTAATTATTTTGTTTCATTTTAGCAAGTGAAAGTTCAAAAGCATATCCTTTAATGTTGGAAATGGATGTGTATGCCCAGATCCGAACACTGGAAAACAAGCACAAATTTACACATTCCTCAATGGCATAAATACAGTATTTCCCCAGGTATGGGATCCTTGTTGACAGCACCTTCGCTAGTGGTGGTGATTGTTGATTCAAATGTAGAATGAAATTTCTTGTGTCACACCATTAGTGGCTATTGCTGTTTCTACCGTAGCAGACAGGGTAATAAGCCCTTTTGCTTCTAGCATTGCTTCGCCTGCTGCTCTCTTTTTCATCACCTCCAGCGTTAACCCACATTTTTTTTTATCAGCAACCCACCAATTAATTAACCCCATTTTGAACGGTTGTATAGTGGATATATAACAATACCAACAAGCAAAACAAAGATCAAGTGCTACCTAAGCAAGAACAACCAACAATCAACGAGGAAAAATATAAGGGCAAATTTTTTAAACTCAACTGATGAAAAATTTTAGAAAGATAAGAATCAGATTGTTGCTGTCTCCTCCGCCTGAGATACCTCTGTGACCTTCATTGCCAATCACCATATTGGCAGCGTTTCTAAGCCCTAGCTGATGGATCAGGGCTTGAACTCATTTGGAAGTTGGAACTCATCTTCCACCAGCATGGACACACAGGACGGGAGTTGCCACTCCTAGAACGAGAAGTTTAGTCTCCTGTTTCCAAATTCCGCCAAGCTCAGCATGGTAGTAGGAAACCAAATGTTAGGAAACTAAATGTGATTCCCATCGTACTATTCTGCCGATTCTTGTGTTGGCAACTGCTGAGAGCCTAAGATCAGATCGGCCAAGAAATGTAGGAAGTCAAATGTTAGCTGGATAGGGTTCAGTCTAACACAGGTTTATTACCATCAAACCATTCAATTACCGAAAGGTAATCAGTTCTGGTCCATTGCAATTCTTCAATAATTGAAAACTTAGGGGTTTTCATTGTTTACTCCACTTCAGAAATCCAAATGGCCTTGTAGGGCGTGCCAATTGATCGCTGTCTCCAGCTATAAAATGTGAAATTGTGTTCAGCTCCACTCATCCTAACACGTCAGCTCGACCCATAATAAAATTCCCACTATACCCCTCAACTCCCGAGGTTCTTGCCTAACCTCTCTGTTACCATATCTTCTTCTTCTTCTTCTTCTCCCCTAACCTATTTCGTTTGTGTTACCGTACCTTCTTCTTCCTCTCGCCTAACCTCTGTGTTACCGTACCTTCCTCTTCTCCCCTTCAGTACAAGCCTCGTGTATTCCCCTGTGCTTGTTCTTTTTTGGTCAGTGTCCCTAACTATGAGCAAAGTTCCCTTAGTCTCTCCAGTACGCCCTTATTTCAGATAAGTCCCGTTAGTTTATCCCGTTCGTAAGTTTCCATTATGCTCTGTGTTTGATCCCTGATTAAACAAGGTCGTATTAGTCTCTTAATCCCTTTGGTTCCAATCCAATAATTAACTTCTCGCTAGGTTGTGTTTTGCTCCCCGATGCGTTTCCATCCTCCCGAGCTCCGAAAATTTGTTGGCGGCTGTTTTCGGTGGTTTTTGGTCTTACCTACATCCCCATCCCTATTGGGTGAAGCACCACAATACGTGCAGTGGATCCTTTCTTACTGGATGGTAGGTTTCGTTGCATTCTCAAATTTGGTGTGACTTGGTAATTCCCTTTTGTTTTCAGTAATTGTTGATATTAACAATGAAAACCCATTAATTGATTAATTTGCACAACTATAGTTTTTTCGTTCTTTGTAATCCATTACAAGTTAGTTCATTGGTTCCTATCTTTGTATAAACAGAACTGTATTAGTGTGACAACTTTTGAGTGCAGTACATAGTTTGATGGCAGTGGGTTGTAAATGATTAAATTTGACTAACGTTGCCACATCCCAGAATTCACTATAAAAGTCCTTAGAAGAGTATTCTGGCATTATATTTTTCTTTCATTGACCCAACCGTAATAACCATCTTATTAAGGATTCTATTAAAGGAGAAAACGTTCGCTAGGTATCTTGGGTAATGAATTATTCAATGTTAGTTTTCTTTAACGAAATAGTATCTACTAATATGGACATCCCATCAAATAGCACAATAAAAAGAGCAGCCAATGGAGTGAAGGGAATCACTCCCCTTCAAATTTGTGATACTAGACGAAGTATTGCTACTGAAGGAGGAAGTGTATCCTTCGCATATCTATGACAATCCAAAACCTGCAGAAACTATTCTACAGCTTTTGGGTTAAATTTTTAGTAGAATAACATTGTTTTCAGAGTCCCAATAGTCATCTTCATTGCAAATTACATGTAATCACATACTTGTAGAAGAACGTTCAATGAAGACGGGGTGGGTATATGAGAACCCTGCCAATAGACCTTAAGGATGCAAATTCTTTGAGTGGGCAGTTCCTATAGGATATACGGATGAGGTTACATCCCCCGGTAGTAATGGTAGTATTTTAACCATGTCGGAGATCTGTAACGTTCCATAGATGATTGTCATAGGCAAGTCGAGTGTTTGAGATCAGCACAGGAGGTGGCCATCGAAGGTGTATGTAGAATTGGACAACTCGTTATTCTTTTGTTGATCCTTGTATTCCTTTCTTACATGTTATGAATGTAGTGCAAGACCAGATGGATTCAGCTTAAGGATTGGTTGTTATTGTGGTCCTCCCGCTATTTTGTTAATTTAGGTGTTGTTATGTGGGTTGGAGGGGGAGGAACTTTTCTCTATGGACTTATATTTATGTGGGTGGAATCTATGTTTGTTGATTGTATCAGTATCCTTCATTTTCTGTACCACCAATCATCCATTAGTACCATGTTTGTCATCTATTTGGCCGTGTGGTTTTGGTGTGGTCGCTTGTATATCAGTGAGAAGGAGATTCTTCACATCTATGTGTATGCTTCTTCAGCCACATGTGGTGCTTTGCGGTATCCATTTGAAGATGTGCCCCATACCTTTGGTCGTGTGGTAGGGTATTCTCCCCCATTGCGACGGTTCGAATTGTGGCCCGATCGAAGTTATCGATAGTCTAGGTGGAGGGAAACGGAGTTTTGCGTAAACCTCCTTTTTTCTCCCTTGGCCAAGGCCATCGTAAATTAGGCATCCCGATCAAGCCGGCTGTGGGGAGTTTGTGGAGTCACCCATCCCGATTACGCAGCCACCCTCCGGTCCACGTGCCATTGAGGGCAACTTAGTGGATTTGGCCACATGTGGCGCACTAAGGTTTAGGGTTAGAGATGGGTTATGGAACGACAACAACGTGGTAAGGTATTGTCTGATAATGCCAGGTGTCGAATGACGCTCCAATTGGAGTTATGGGTAGGCTCGACGAAGCAAAACGAAGGTTTTCGGTCAACCTCCGTTTCACTTCGTCGGCCAAGGCTGTTAGCAATCACGCGTGTCGGTCATTTCGGATGTGAATCTCGAGACATCGTGGAGTCCGCCATCCCAGTTTGGCAGCCAATGCACCACTGATCGGTTCCATGTGCCACTCAAGAGTGATTTAGTGGATATGGCCATGTGTGGCATAGTAAAGGTTTGGATTAGGAATGGGTCGATGGACAACCATAGTGTTTTGGGTATTATCCCACGGTACCAAGCGTCGAATGATGGTGCGATTGGAGTTACAAGTTAGCTCGATGGAG